AATAAATAATGTTTAGTATAAACAACAGATGAAAAGGCCTATATAAAGTACTATTGACATTTAGATTTAATGAACAATTACACCTTTTTGTATTTTATAAATCCTTTTATCTGATCTAAAAGCTCTTAATAAATAGGAACTCATTAAAGAACACACCATCACTATGAGGTAGTTGTATGTAAACAGGTTCATATTTTCAGATGGAGAAGGTAAGGTAGAGGTCAATCCAATAACACAATGTGAGTTATTGATTGGTGTAGACATATAAATAGAATGTAGTTTTCTGGACACCTAAAACTTTGCTCCATTCGGTAACTTATTGGTATTAAGAAGTAAATACTTTCTTTTTAAAGCATTCAAATAAGAAAATCTGATCTAAGTTTTCCTTTTGATATTAGCAAAACAAAAATGTGAAACACAAATTTATCTGATTTAATAGGATATCAGCCCGAAATCCAATTTGGGGATCCAGAATTAATATATTAATAGTTTTCATGTAGCATGGAAACCTAAAGTAATACTTTAATTTTAATGTTTAAGCCACTTTATATTAATAGTTTTCAAAGTGTTTTCATTCTATTATGTCATTTCACATTGTGGCCTCTTCTTTTATAAGAATTTTGAGAAAGCAAGGGAAAGCAGTGGAGATAAAAGCGGAGCCAATCCCTAGGGTAACTGGACCAGAACTTCAGCGTTTATTGATAAAACTTGTGCCTACACCCATTGCTCAAACTGTCATCCTGGAAGAATACTTTGCCTTTGAGTAACTGAGCCAATCTTACCAAACAGATGAATTTAGTGATGAGAGAGAGACTTTGTATCAGGTTTTGGTAAGTGGTGCTTTTCATGAGTTGGGGAAAGAATGACTAGTGGAAAATAAAAAGAATTCTCTTAAGGAATAGATAACATAATAGTTGAGGACAAAGATGTCTAAATCCCTATATTTTAATGTTTTTATAATTTCCTGACCTGAGTTTTTCTACTTAAATAATGGTTGTATTTATAAAAATGTAAACATCTGTCTGAATTATTTTGATTCCAACAAAACGATGGTGATGGGGAGTCAATTGGAAGAAACATTTGATGTCATCAATAGTAATAGTAGGAGTAATAACCACTAATGTGGTTATTTTTTTTTTTTTATTTTTTATTTTTTTGAGACAGAGTCTCGCTTTGTTGCCCAGGCTAGAGTGAGTGCCGTGGCGTCAGCCTAGCTCACAGCAACCTCAAACTCCTGGGCTCGAGTGATCCTTCTGCCTCAGCCTCCCGGGTAGCTGGGACTACAGGCATGCGCCACCATGCCCAGCTAATTTTTTATATATATATCAGTTGGCCAATTAATTTCTTTCTATTTATAGTAGAGACGGGGTCTCGCTCTTGCTCAGGCTGGTTTTGAACTCCTGACCTTGAGCAATCCGCCCGCCTCGGCCTCCCAAGAGCTAGGATTACAGGCGTGAACCACAGCGCCCGGCCACTAATGTGGTTATTAACGTGTAACGAGCTTGCTGTGTGTCAGGCACTGTGCCTTATAAGTGTCTTGTGGGCATTAACTTTTTAATCCTTTAAGTCAGAGCTCTTCCTAATTTGATCTCCTCTGAGAAGTTACACTTTAATCTGAAGATAGGGTACACTTCATAATGCTTAGAAATAATGTTGACACATAAATACGAAAGAATGTTGAGAATGAACTATATGTTTAAAATATTTCATAGTCTCAGTGTGAGTATCCGTGGATTCCACATCCATGAATTCTACCAGCAGTGGATCAAAAATATTTGGAAAAAAATTCTGTCTGTACTGAACATGTACAGACTTTTTTTTTGTCATTCACTAAACAATACAGTATACCAAGTATTTACATAGCATTTACATGATATTATAAGTAATCTGGAGATGATTTAACGATTCTGGGAGGATGTGCTTAGGTTATATGCAAACGTTAGGGCATTTTATATCAGGATCCTGAACATCTGTGGATTTGGTAGCCAAGGAAGATTCTGGAACCAATCCCCCACAAATACCAAGGGATGAGTGTATGACAATTATATACAAAGTGAAGCTTTAAAAATAAACTGTATAGTGTTTAATACATTGTTATGTACATATGCATATATATTTTTACAAGAATGGGATCATTATATACATGCTCTTTTAAAAAATAAATTTATTAAAAACAGTTTTAGATTTGTAGAAAAAATTACAAACATATTAGGGAGAGTGGCCATATCCTCTTATCCAGTTTCTCCTGTTAGTAACATTTTATGTTAGTATGTCACATTTGTTATAATTAATAAACCAATATGGATACATTATTATTAACTAAAGTCCACACGTTATTCAGATTTCCTTAGTTTTTACCTAATGTTCTTTATCTGCTCCAGAATCCCTTCCTGGTTACCACGTTACATTTAGTCATCACGTCTCCTTAGGGTCCTCCTGACTGTGACGGTTTCTGACTTTCCTTGTTTTTGATAAACTTGACAGTGTTGAGGAGTACTTATCACATGCTTTGTAGAATGTAGATTGGGATTGTTTAATGTTTTTCTGATGGTTAGCCTGGGGTTACGAGTTTTAGGGGAAAGACCACAGAGGTAAAGTACCATTTTCATTGCATCATATCAGGGATACATACTTGATCACTTGGCTGAGGTACTGTTTGTCAGTTTCTGCACTCTAAAGTTGCTCCTTTTTCCCTCTTTCCCTACTGTACTCTTTGAAAGGAAGTCACTCTGCATGTTCACACTTACGGAGTGAAGCATTGTACTTCACCTCCTTGAGGGTGGGGTATCTATATAAATTATTGGAAATTCTTCTGTAGTAGAGATTTGTCTATTCTTTCCCCACCTCCTATTTATTTACTTATATCAGTATGGCTCATGGATATTTATTTTATATTTTGGGTTATAATTTATACATATATATTTTTTGATGTGCTTTCTTTGCCCAATAATATGTTGTAGATAACTTTCAAAGCCTATACATACAGGTGACCATTCTAACTTTTAGAAGTTATAAAGTATGTATTTAATTAACCCTTTACTGATGTACATTTTTGCTTCCATTTTTTTCTTATTTTCAACAATACTGGGGTAACACCCTTGTACATTTGTTTTTTGTGTACTTGTACAACTATTCCTTAATTTGCTATTCTAACCTCATCCCCAAGGCATATTTATTACACTTGAGCTATGTTCGCTGTTTTGGCAAGCACACGTTGCTTTCCTTAGTTTACACTATTTTCTCTACTTAGAATGCTGTTGTCCTATCTTTGCCCACTATGTATGAGTCAGGACTCTGCTCAAAGACTACTTGTTATAGAATCACTTCTCTAGCATTTTTATTTATTTATTTTTTGACAGAGTCTCACTCTGTTGCCCGGGCAAGAGTGCCGTGGCATCACCCTAGCTCACAGCAACCTCAAAATCCTGAGCTCAAGTGATCCTCCTGCCTCAGCCTCCCGAGTAGCTGGGACTACTGGCATGTGCCAACATGCTGACTAATTTTTTCTATATATTTTTAGTTGGCCAATTAATTTCTTTCTATTTTTAGTAGAGACAGGGTCTCATTCTTGCTCAGGCTGGTTTCGAACTCCTGACCTTGAGTGATCCTCCTGCCTCGGCCTCCCAGAGTGCTAGGATTACAGGCGTGAGACACGGTGCCCATTGTCTAGCGTTTTTGAAGAGAATTTAATGGCTCCATTCCACCTCTCTCTTTGTACATGCGTTATAGCTCTTACCATCTGAGCCTCCTATTCTATCCCAGGACTCTGTTTTTCTTACCAGTTTATGTACTGATAGAGAAACGTGATCAATCCCACTCAACCTGTGTATTCCATCAAAGTGGTGGTCACATAAAGAAACTAGCATATTTTGACTTTGAAGTGAAGAATTTGAATATCTGAGAAATTAAAAAGCATCCTCAGTAGTGCATAATAAATTACTCTTCCATTCTTTTACATGCTTCAGGGAGACAGAAGAGTTGAATGCAGGTTTTAGTTTTTGTTTATTTAGACAGGGTTTCTCTCCGTTGCCCTGTGGCATGATCATAGTTCACTGTAATCTTGAACTCCTGAGCGTAAGAGATCCTCCTGCCTCAGCCTCTTGAGTAGCTGGAACAACAGGTGCCCAACACCACACCTGGCTAATTAAAAAAAATTTTTTTTTTATAAAGACAGGGTCTGCTATGTTGCCCAGGCTGGTCTCAAACTCCCTGTCTCAAGCGATCCTCTTGCCTCAGCCTCCCAAAGTGCTGGGATTACAGGCGTGAGCCACCATGCCCGACCTAGCTTTTGTTTACAGTGAAAATAATCGTACTGTAGTTGAAAAGTAATGTTTTCTAGCAGTCTGTCAGAAATGTTTGCTGGTTGAAGACTTTGGAATTACAGTCTGTGTCTTCCAAAATGAGCATCTTCAATGTGCCAAGTATTCATAGGAAATTGTATATAAATGCAGGAGAACGGAACTCAAGTAATTAAATAAGCCCTCTGATCCTTCCGACTTCCTTTTTAAAGTAGGCAGGTGGCATAATGTACCTGATATATTATAATTAGTACTGAGAGGTGAATGCCAAAACATAAAACAGAAACAAAAGCAGGAGACAGTTTTAGTTTGGTTGTGATGCGGTGTCAGGAGCTGAGGCTAAAGGCCCACGCAGCCCACACCTAGGAGACGCGCTCCTTCGGTTAGCACTCTGAGGCGGGGTGACCTACACATCCGTGACCCCCTCTGGGTAGGAGGAGATAGAGCACATATCATCTGACTTCCAGGGCGGCTAAGTGATTTCCATGACTAAATCAGGCTCTCTCACTGCCATTTGGGGGAACTTCATAGACACCGCCAGCCGCTGGCACCTGGCGCCGCGCGCCTGCGGCCGCCTCCGCTCCCGCGAACCAATCATCTGCAGGCTTTGGGGGCACGTCCCGCTGTCGGCCACGCCACGCCCCCAGCCGGCGGGGCTGGGGGGCGCTTTTAAGAACCGGCCGCGGGTCGCGGGCCCAGTCAGGGGTGCGGGGCTGTGGAGTGTGAGGCCCCGGTCTGGGTCCCTGAGGCGCTCGCGCACCGCCGCTGTCCTTGCGGCCGCCCCTACGCTGTTCGCGGCCCGCCCGTCCCGGGCTTCGCCGTCCTCGCCTCGGCCTCAACAGCCTGCCCGGCGCTCGGCAGCTCCTCGGTGAGCCCGCTGGGACCTCGCGCCCCTCGCGCTCCTCTGGCGCCCGAGGGGGGCGGCTTGGGCCATGGTGCCCTCCCAGGAGGAGCCCGCCGCCGCGCGGGGCACAGGCGAGGCGCAGCCGCTCGGCCCCGCGCCCATGGGGGCGACAGAGCTGCCCGGCCCCGCTCCCGGCCCCTCAGACAGTCCCGAGGCGGCCGCCGAGAAGGTGGAGGTGGAGCTGGCGGGGCCCGCGGAGGCGGAGCTGCGTGAGCCCCCCGAGCCCCCCGAGGGCGGCTGGGGCTGGCTGGTGATGCTGGCGGCCATGTGGTGCAACGGGTCGGTGTTCGGCATCCAGAACGCCTGTGGGGTGCTGTTCGTGTCCATGCTGGAGACCTTCGGCTCCAAAGACGATGACAAGATGGTCTTCAAGACAGGTGAGGTACCGCGCCCGCCGAGGCCAGCCCGGGGGGACAGGAATGGGGCCCCCGAGCACATCACGCGTGTGGGGTGTGTGTCCGCGTCGGTGGGTCCCCATGTGCCGGACGGTGTGAGCGGTGGGTCTGTCCAGCAAACGGAGCCTGCCGCTCCTGGGGCCTTGGTGTGCCTGTCTTTGTATGGAATCCAGATGCAGGGACTGTGTGCAAGTAGCAGAACTTATTTGTCAAGGTCTTCCTCGTTTCTCTGCGGAGTAGGCGCTAACAGTCCACAGTAGCCTTTTCATTTAATGTTTGAAAACAAACAGAACCTCAGAACTTTCTAATCCCAGCGACTTCACTTCGCACTGTGGCGTTCAGCTGCCTCCTGGGCTGCAGAGCCTTGTGTGTCTGTTGGCGGGAGGCAGGAGTTCGTCGGGATGGGAGATTTATACCAGGGTCACGGGGAGTTCTGAAGGGAGCCCTCCAAAATCCGCGGGTTTGTGTCTCGTTTTTTTGTTCTTTCTTTCTTTCTTTTTTTTTTTTTTTGCACTCTGTGCTAAATATAGAAAACATAGGTGGCAGCCAAACTAGGGAATTAGGGACAGGGAAGATGAAGGTGAGGGGCTGCCCCTTCCTATTGTGTTCTTTGACTTTTTTTTTTAACCATACAGTAAATTAGATGCAAAAGGTACAGATTCAGCATTTTCCTCCTTGTAAAGCGTTATTATATGACATTTTGGCTGATTAGGCAAAAACAAGTCTAAGACCTTTGTGTATAACACTTCTTTAACATAAATTATTTGACTTCATCTTATGAGGTGGGCACTGTCAACCCCTTTTAAGTGAGAAAACTGAAGCTTAGTGAAATAAAGTGTCGTGGTGAGTAGCAGAATGGAGATAGAGCACATATCATCTGCCTTCAAGGGCTGCTAAGTGATTTCCATTACTAAATCAGGCTCTCTCACTGCCATTTGCGGGAACTTTATATGATGAATAGTCTTTTTGTTTTTAACCTTGATTTTCTATTATTTTTAGAGTGAATATTCCTTAGGTCTTTAGTATACATACAAGGAATAAACAGGACTGTAATAACAAATTCTAAGCATAAGTAATGCTGGGTAATGTTGAGAGTTTAAAGACCTTGTATAAATAATATACTATTTGTATCATTCTCCAACTTGCTTTTATTTTATTCTGCACATGTTTGTTACTTATTCATATAATACCTCAGTTTGAGCTGGCAGCTCAAAATCTTTCTGTTTTTAATGTATATGGTTTTCCTTTGTTTGAATATAGTGTACTTTATTTGTGCATTCTTCCTTTAATGGACATTTAGATTGCTTCTGAACTTATTACAAACAATGCTGCAATGAATATTCTTGTACATGTCTCTTTGTGCATGTGAATAAGGTACCATATTTAACCTGGAATTTCTGTTCCTTAAATAGCTATTGAAGCTGCTGTGTTATTGCAGGTCAAAGGGCTAGGTACAGAAACACGTCCTTTCTTTTAAGGAAGGCAATCATTGTAAAGTTTAATAGGAGAGAGATGCATATACATTAGTAAGCAAAAATAATTTTCTTTCTTTTCTATATGAGTATTGGGTATCTGGGAGTGAAAAGCTCCAGAAAGAAGCAGAATTGACAGAGTTAACATTGCAAGATTAGTTCCAGCGTTTAGCATATTCCTGCCTGGGATTACAGATTTTTAATGTAGTCAAAACAGCAACAGCCTTTTGTTTACCACTGTTTTTGCAAATTCAGATGAGTAGATCTCTTAGTGTCTGTGGAGTTTTTTTTTTCTTTTCTTCATTGGTGTCTGTGGTGTTTTTTATTCCCTTCCCTCTCTTTCCTCCTCCTCCTTTCTTTTTTTCTTCTTTTTTTTTGAGGAAAATTGAGGAGAGAGTGAGCAACTGCTGAAGAGAGACCATAGCTTTGTGAGGGATCAGAATTTTGCAGTATTGAAGCCTCTCCCTATTACTTGTCCCCAAAGTTCCAACTAGCAACAATATCCCAATACTGAAAGGTGAGGGAAAGGAAAAGAACCTGGTTTTTCTTTTGAATTCTTTGAAATTTCTTGTTTTCAGTTTTGATGAGTATCTTTCTCCTTTTACTCAGTTAAGTCCTTGACAACTCTTTCAGTCATGTTTCAGTATGTGTGGGTGTGCATCATATAAGCAATTGTACAGGTATGCTAGTTAAGTGTATAAAGATATTTGTACCACTCTGTGTGACTGCTGCATAGGGCTAAGTGGGGACTAAGAACTAGCCTGTGATCTGGGTGCTCTTGGTCTGATTCTTACACAAAGACCCTATGCACTTGTAATGGTCCTGTATAACACAGGAGCTAGATTGAGCCATGGCCATTACTTGAGCACTAGGTAATAAATACATATATGACTTAAAATTTTTAAGGGCTGAGAAAGAAAGCAGATTTAACCTCAGCTATGAAAAAATGCTTACAAGATAGTCTTTAGGCCATTTATTGGTGAGATCGCTTTTATTCCATATCTCCCCTCCCCCTTTTCCTCTACTCCTCCCCATTTCTCTTTCCCTCTGCACACACAGATGCACACAGGAGGCATTTCATAAAGTCTGTCATCAGCCAGATGCGGTGGCTCATGACTGTAACCCCAGCATTTTGAGACGAAAAGAAGGGAGGATCTCTTCAGGCCAGAAATTCCAGACCAGCATGGGCAACACAACAAAACCTCCATCTCTATAAAAAATAAGAAAAATTAGCCAGGTGTGTTAGTGTGTGTGCAAAGTCCTAGCTACTTGGGAGGCTGAGGCAGCAGGATCACTTAAGCCCAGGAGTTCAAGGTGCAATGAGAAAAAAAACAAAAGAAGGCTGCAGTGAGCTATGATTGTGCCACTGCACACCAGCCTGGAAGACACTGAGACCCTGTCTCAAAAAAGAAAAATGCTGATGGCACCAAAGCCCCATTATGGTACCCAGCTGCTGATGGCATGGCACTCAGAGGTATACTTCACACATCCTTCTTGCCTGGGTGGAGGGGAATCAGATGTTTTTGGAAAAACTAAAATAGATACTATAACTAACTGGAACATTTTCCCCTAGAAGTCGCAACTTTAGCTCTGCTGGATATTGGAAAACCCATGGGACTGATAAAGAGTCTAGGGTTTTTGTCTTCTTGAAGCAGTGCCATGGATACTCTCTGGGGTCTTGCTAGAGTAGTAATCTCCTTTAATTATCTACTTTCTTCAGGGAGAAAGAAAAATATTTTAATGGTAGATTGACTTTTAAAAAATATGTATTTAGCCGGGCGCTGTGGCTCACGCCTGTAATCCTAGCTCTTGGGAGGCCGAGGCGGGCGGATTGCTCAAGGTCAGGAGTTCAAAAAACCAGCCTGAGCAAGAGCGAGACCCCGTCTCTACTATAAATAGAAAGAAATTAATTGGCCAACTGATATATATATAAAAAAAAAAAAAAAAAAATTAGCCGGGCATGGTGGTGCATGCCTGTAGTCCCAGCTACCCGGGAGGCTGAGGCAGAAGGATCACTCGAGCCCAGGAGTTTGAGGTTGCTGTGAGCTAGGCTGACGCCACGGCACTCACTCTAGCCTGGGCAACAAAGCGAGACTCTGTCTCAAAAAAAAAAAAAAAAAAAAAAAAAATATTATTTAAAACTTAAAAATATCTGTTTAAAACTTTAAAAAAAATCTGTTTTTTTGGTACATAGTTACCATTCTAGAAAAATATCTATTTAAGTATGTTTTCAGAATCAGTATTTAGGATAGTTAATGATATCTTTTTGAAGAAATTATGTCTTTGTGGTTGAGAGACTTGGTCAGGAAGACCTTTATTTCTTCCAGTAATTCCCCAGATGTGTTCTTTAATAGTCTTTCTTGAAAGTGGAGGTCTGCGGTTAAGTTTGGGAAACATTTCACACTGTACTTATCTGTTGGATATTTAAATGTAAATCAAGATATTAAAAATTCAATAGTTTAGAAGTGGACTATCAAAAAGGTCCTGAAAGGAAGATTCTTTGGATATAATTTTTAATGCAACTCCACTTTCCCTCTGTGGAGACAGATTGCTCTTTAGGCAGATGCAATCACAAAGTAGGATTTTCAGTAACCTTTGGGGATGAAATGATCTTGCAGCACCTCTCAATATATCTTATGAGCCCTTCTGAAACTTCAAGTCAGTCTGTGCTTCCTGAAGGTTTGTTCCCCCACCCTGGCCCCAAGTTGTCACATTTACAGTTATACTGCTATCTACATAATGCAGTTGTGTGCTACATCTAAATTATAGGAGACATAAAGGCTATGTCTTGCCTTTATGCTAAGTAGTTTTGTTTTGTTTGATGGGAAAAGCTGCCTGTATAATTATTTCTGTATCTTAGGAAAGTTTTTATTTTATTTTAATTAATTATTTTTTCCATTTCAACGAAGATCAGGGCAGAAAAGGAAAGTTTTTAGTGATAGTACTTTGTTGAGCTGGTTACAGTAAACAAACAATCTGGTTCATGGTCCTATGTATTTTTCTTTTCTATGATTATTATTATTATTATTTATTTCAGCATATTACAGAGATGCAAATGTTAAGGTTACGTATATTGCCCTTCTCCCCCTCCCCCATATTTTTCACTATAAGAAAAATACCTGATTGTGATTTGCATTGGAAGAGAGGTGGAAAAGCTAAGAGAACTTACTTATGACAATAAACTTATCTAAACTGCCTGTTAGTCAGTAGACCACAAAAATGGTTCCAGGATTTTGGAATAATTAAGAAATGAGTCTTGTATGGTGGCTCAGGTCTATAACCCTAGCACTTTGGGAGGCGGGAGGATCACTTTCGGCCAGGAGTTAGGGATCAGCCTGAGCAAGAGTGAGACCCTGTCTCTACCAAAAATAGAAAAATTAGCTTGGTGTGTTGGTACGAGCCTGTAGTCCCAGCTACTCCAGAGGTAGGAGGATCACTTAAGGCCAGGAGTTTTTTTTTTGTTTGTTTTTTGAGACAGAGTCTTACTCAGTTGCCCTGGCTAGAGTGCTG